TGGTAAATTTTAATAACTTCCTCATGAAGTTGTTAGATCAATGGCTATTATAAATCCACCTCATTCTCATCCAATGGCCATAATTCACTCCTACTATAACTTCTAAAAATTATATTTCCTCCACATAACTCATTAAACTTATTCAATAATTTTAATCCTCCAATTTTCTAAGTTCTAAAAAGAATACCTGGAACACTATTCACCAATAATTAATTCTTTAATTAATCATGCAAAATTTATATCTTCACTTAAATTCATTAAGACTAATCATATAATGTCTAATTAACTCCATAATTATTAATTATGTCTAATATCCTTCTCGGATCCAAATAAACTATTATTTTCCTTTTGGACAGTACCATTCATAACCTGATAAAATGTTATTATTTTAATGTCCAAAATTTTGGGGCGTTACACCCAGGAGGAGGTGAAGGCGATGGATGTGGACAGTGGCTTGGGCCTATTTATTTTATCTGTTGGCGACCACTCTCTTCACTAACCATGGGAACGACGCAAACTTGGTATTGTTGCCTCTACTGTAGAATCTTGATATGATTGGGTAGCAGAAATGAGGAGCTGCTACTCTATCTTTTTTGTATTATGGAATGGACCTCTGTGTGAGAGGCAACCATCTGAAGATTGGCTACTGACACGCCATAGGGGTAAGGTAGCAAAATCATTTCCTCTTGTTTTCATTATGTCCATCTACTTGTTATTTACAACTGACCATCGGTCATTTTCTTTTGTACAGATTTGAGCTTGTGAGTATCAGGTGCTGCCTATGCTCCATCTTTCTAGATTTGGCACTGGAGTGGATGGGACGACCCTTCCTCGAGGTTGGGCCTAAAGGTATAGCAAAAAATATGCTCATACTACTTCTGATCCTTCCGTGTTTCACCAGATGCTGAACGGCTTAAATTGGACCAATGTGAGTCCTTTTACCATTGTAAGTCTTAGATCGTGTCAATTACTGTGTGTTTTCTCTTTGCAAATCCAGAAATACCTGTGGGGCCAGATTGCTGAGTTCTCAAACTTCATTTAGGCAACTGTGCCGTATCAACAGAGGAGGCTGCTCTCACTCGGTCTCTTTTATGACATGTACTATCTCGGAGGGAGGGTATATGAGTGGGAGCTCAGCGCCGCCCAGAGGAGAGTATTACATGGAGTCCCTTACTTCATGATGGAGACTCGGGACATAAAGGGCGAAATGATTGCCATTGCACGGAGGGGTACAACGGCTGCCGATCACTTAACTAACTTTGTACCCAGCGCTTATGTGATCTTTTATTCGAACTCAGCTATTGGTACGAGTACCTCCGTCTGCTGATGATGAGCTGATTATGGAGGTGGAGGAAGAAGCAACAGAGGATAAGGGAGCTACCCCTTCTCGAGTGAGTATCATTTGCTTTTTATGCTTTGCCCCAATATGTGATCTGATTGCTTATTATCTGTGTTTTATTATTATAGCAGCAGTGGGACAAGAACGTCATGAGGGGTTCTACCACAAAGGCACCGGACACTGTTGTTGTGCTCGGCAAGCCAGAGCATGCCCTAGGTGCTCCATTCACCTTTATTTTTACACGCACGGGATTGATCGCGCAACGCATGCTGGAGACGCACGCAGTTAGTCCATACTAGATGTCTCTACCTGGTAGCACTCACATAAGTCTAATCTTCCTTAGAGATTATTATTTTCCCTTTATTAGCTTCCATTCTTGATGGATGTCACTGTCTTATTCTGCAAGTGTCCATTGAGGACTACAATAAAGTGAGCCAGTTTATGACGTTACAAGGCTCAAGCTCGCTGTGGCAAGGCTCTCTGAGGAGCATATTTCTATAAGTTAAAAACGAAATAGAAAGACAGTAAAAAAGAATATGCTATGCATGTCATGTATGTGTGTTATGCAATACTAAGAAACTTAAATGTATGCAGAGAGCTAGCATGACACCAGGAGGTCGAGGTCGGGATTCCTGTGGAGGTGGTAGAGCTAGTCGAGTGCTGGATGCAAATCAATTGTAATTGGAGAGGCCAATGATGCTGATAGTAAGGACTCGAAGGAGACGACCTCGTATATGTCATAGGACGGCTGTGCTTCTATATTCTTTATTTATTACTTTCCCTCTTTTTAGATAGGACACAATTTTTGGGAAATATTATCACTTTTGTAAAGAAATTCAAAAATTTTTATTTATATTAGATTAATTGTCGATTTCCCACTATTTCTGAGTTTCACTACTTGTGTGCCTGCTTTATAGATGTTGTTGAAGTTGTTTTCTGGCTTGTGAATCAAAGATCCAACAAAAACCCAAAAATTATTGCTATTGGAACTGAAGTGGCGTGCATCATTATCAGTGTGGCTTGCGCTGTACGTAGTGGTGTGCGCCACTAACAGTGCAGTGGTAGACAGTTGTTAATTTCTATCCTTTATTTTTGATATAAAAGCCCATAAGGTACAAACACGCTTGAAATAGCTCACTTCTCCCAGAAAAATGATAGGCGTTATTTTTAATATAGTTTTTATTAGGATTTTTAGTATTTTTTATTACTTTAATTATTTTTTATTTTAGTTTTATTTCTATTTTTGTTCAAAGCTTCCTTGCTTTAATTATTTTTATTTTAGTTTTATTTCTATTTTGTTCAAACTTCCTTGAATCATAATTCACTTGATCTTAAAAAAGAAATTTGTAAGGGTTTTTTGGCACAGAAGAAGAGCGAATAAAGAAAGCAAACTCAGGCTCTAGCACGCCCTGCCCGTGCACCTAAGCAGGCCCGTGCTGGATTCAAGGAAAATCAAGTGGAGACTCAGACTCTAGCACGCCTAAGCCGTGGTATATGGCACGCCCGTGCCAAAAGAGGAAATCAACCTAAAGGCGTGCTTGCTTAAACACGGCCCTTGCTGCATTTTATCCTAGAGACTCAGAGCTTAGCACGCCCTAACCGTGCTATTTGGCATGCCCATGCCATAAATCCTTATCTAGGTGTGCCCCTGAGCATGGCCCGTGTTGAACCTGCCTAAGAACTCAAGATCCGGCACGCCCTGACCATGCCGCATAACATGCCTATGCTGCGAATCAAGTGTTGTTTTGAGTCAAGAACGCCAACCAGTCCCTATCACTTACATGGGCCCACTTGATATATTTTCCTGACATACAAATCAAAGTTCTAATCCTATTTAGGCGCATGATCCTATTTAGGCGCATGGAAGAGTCCTAACTGAGAAGAAATTCAAAGCCTAAACAGTTTCCTACTTCCAAAAAGATTTCTTACTTAATGAGGACTCTATTTCCTAAACGGAGTCAGATTTTCTCCCGGGAAATCTATATAAAGAGAGGAGCCATTCATTGTAGATATATCTCCAGTTTGGATAATTTTTGTTCTATTGTTCTTCTCAGTCTCCAAGACTTCAAGTGTTCAAGATTTGTGCCAAGATTCAAGGAAGCCGTCCATAATTATTCAAGGAAGCCGTCCATAATTAATTATTGACTAGTTTTTATCTCTAAACTCTTAATCTTGTTTTATTCTTTCATTATTCTGATTGATTATGGAATTTTTATCAAGCGTTATTGAGTTTTATTTAATTACTACGCCGAACTAAACGCTCATACTAGGGATTTGATGTAGCTTAATTCCTTTTCCAATTTATAATATTAGATTTGTTTTTCTTTATTCAAAGTATAATCTATTATTAAACTTAATGCTTTGAAGCTGAGTTTCTCCCCCGGATTGATTTATTTCATTAATAACTATCGAGAGAAGGGTTTTTGATATGAAAAAGGTAATAAATTATATGAGAATAATAACTTGATGCGGAAGCTATATAGTTTGACTCATAGGGGTTTTTATAAGTTAATGACCTTAGGTTATGAATTCACAAAACAAACCTTGAACTTAATGATTTAATTCATGTTTGATTGCGCTATTGGAAGATAGGTAGTTAGACCGAGTTAAAATAGCTAACAATACATTGGGAGAGCTTGTTAGTGATTTTAGGGTTGTTTCCCTGTTTCCCCTACTTGAACAATTAAAATTGATTAATGAACTAATAAAATAAATTGGAAAGAATTAAGTGAAATCAAAATCCCTAGTAGTTTTTAATCCTTTATTCTTTTAATCAAAAATTGCCTTGTTTTCTTCTTATCCTCTTTTATTTACTGAAGTTAGTTTCTCAAAATAATTTTGCTAAATCGACATTTAAATATTAATAGGTTAATATAATTTTGGTACATGGTATACAATCCTTGTGGATACGATACTCTTCTCATTCTATATTACTTGTTGCGATTTTATACACTTGCGAAAATCGTTGTCAAGTTTATGGCACCGTTGTCGGGGATTGGTGTTACCAATATCAATACCAATTACCCTATTATTAATTTAGACATTTATTTTTGTTTATTATGTATTTAATTTAATTTTTCTAAGAAGAATTTTCAGGTGTTTATGCAGGTGTTTATGCAAAGAAGATCAGGTAGGACTGAACCCTTGATCTTTGATCCAGAAATCGAAAAGACTTGTCGTAGGAACAACGCTGTTAGAAGAGCACGTGAGAACAAACCAGAATAGCAAGCGAACATGGATGATAACCCTCAGGATGGACCTCAACCTCATGTCCACACCTTACGGGATTACACAACAACTTCTCTCAATGGAACAACCTCGAGTATCACTAGACCTAGGGTGAAAGCTAACAATTTTGAAATTAAACCTGCAATTATCCAAATGCTTTCCACCTCAATCAATATGGAGGTTTACCTAGTGAAGATCCTATGCCCATATCACAAATTTCTTAGACACAAATTTCTTAGAGATTTGTGATACTTTCAAACAAAATGGAGTTTCCGAGGATGCCATAAAATTAAGACTCTTTCCTTTCACTTTTAGGGACAAAACACAATCCTGGTTACAATCATGTCCTGCTGGAAGTTTTATAACATAGGAAGAATTAGCCCAAAAATTTTTAGCAAAATTCTTTCCATCCTTTCCATCTTCAAAAACCACAAAACTGCGGAATGAGATAATGACCTTTCTCCACCATGATCAAAAGAGTTTGTTTGAAGCTTGGGAGAGATTCAGGGACTTATTGAGAAAGTGCCCACATCACAGCTTGCCTAAGTTATTACAGGTATAAACTTTTTATAATGCATTATCTCCTAATATTAAAATTACTCTAGATACAGCTGAAGGTGGATCTTTTGAAAGAAAAGAAATTGATGAGGCATGGCATATGACTTGATAGAGGAGATGGCAAGCAATAGCCATTATCAAAGCAACTACGAAAGGAAGAAGACTGCAGGAGTTTATGAGATTGATGCCATCACCGCACTCAATGCCAAGGTAGACAATATGGTTAGGAAGTTGGACTTATTGACTACTAACTCGGTGAATTCTATTGTGCAAGCTTGTGACAGATGTAGTGGACAACATGGGATTGGGGAATGCATGTTAGATTCTTTAAATCCGCAAACTTTGGGGCAAGTGAACTATGTGATGAATCAAGGAAGGAAGAATTACCCATACTCTAACTCTTATGATAACAGGTTGAGGATCACCCTAATCTTTTGTATGGGAATCCAAACAATTCCTTGAACGCACCACTAGGTTTTCTACCTTAAGAAAAAAAATTCTCATGATGATCACCTTACTGCCCTCTCTAAATCGCACATGGACTTCATGAACGAAACCCGAGAAAACAATAAAATCCAACAAATGGCAATAAAGAATTTGTAGGTACAAGCAGCGAAATTGATAACCATGGCAATTAATGAATATCAAGATGATGAGTGCAAGGTGAATTCTGAGGAAACTTTATGGGAAATTGCACCTTTAGAAGAAGTAAAGCCTACATGTGAAAAATGCAACTCCTTTGAAGACAGAATGTGAAAAATGCAACTCCTTTGAAGACAGATTAAATCTCACTTTCTTGTTTCCAGACATGATTATTAATGACCATGAAAAAAGTGAGGTACAACTGGAAGGGACATTAGAGCAAAAAGTGAGAAGCTGATTGATTTGAGCTCATCAATGGTCTTTATATATACACCACTAGAAGATCCTTTCTTTCCAATGATACCACCTTCAATAAATTATGTTCTCCATGATTTAATACAGTTTTTTCCCCAGTTTCATCATTTAAAGTGAGAAGTTGTTAATAAGACGAGCATAAATTTTCTCAATCTAGTCAATCTTGAGGGCATTTTCAACCAAAACCCATGTATGATATTGCATGATACATACTATGGGCGAAAGCCGTTATTTGATAAGCTTCTCAAAAGTTGAGTTTAAAGACTTTAAACAAAACGCTTGTGGGAGACAATCCATACTCTTTTCCTTAACCTTTTTACTTTAGTTTATTTTTGTCATTTTATTATAGTTTTCCCAAATCTTTCACCATGATTATTCTTCTGTTGTCAGTCAAGTTCTCTCAGGTACAAGTTGAGGTACAGGATCTAGCACACCCTTGCCGTACCAATCAGCACGCCCGTGCTTCAAAAAAAGGGAAATTGCTTCGAGAGTCAGACTATAGCACACCCTTATTGTGCTCATCGGCACGCCTATGCTTCAAAAAGGGGAAATGGCTTCGAGAGTCAGACTCTAGCATGCCCTGATCGTGCTCTTAAGCACGACTATGCTAGGTAAGATGAAATTTTGCTCTTGCAAGTCAGAGGCTCGCACGCCCTTGTCGTGCCTGTCCGCACGCCCCTGCCAGGAAAGCAAAATTTTTCTCTTACAAGTTAGAGGCTAGCATGCCCCAGCTGTGCTCCTCAGCACACCTGTGCCAGGTAAGACAAATTTCTCTCTTACAGGTCAGAGGCTAGCATGCCCAAGCCTTGCTAGTCCGCATGCCCGTGCCTGCCACCGCCTTAAAGATTCAGCAGCTAGCACGCCCTGACCGTGTCGCCCTGACCGTGTCAAGTGGCATGCCCGTGCTACGTTAAAAAAATCTTCGTATTTAAAATGTGCCTTTTCGGTTACCGCGCACCTCCTTATATTTAAAGCGCACGCCCTAGTCGCCTTCATCTTGCTTTCTCTCTTTTTCTCTCAAACTCCAAGTTTAGCAAGCCAATTTTCTTCCTTTCTTTTCTCCTTCATTCACCATGCCTCCACCATATAAACGCAGCAGACCTGTATCGTCAGTGACAGTAAGAAATCGGCCAATTGCCCTTCCTTCAACCGCTTCTCCTCCACCCGTTCCACCTCCTACAGCTCCGGTTCCTCCTCGATTTGAGATCGGCTCACCAGAACAACAGGAAAGGTACAATAAACTCTCTCTTCACCCTATTTTGCTAAATCGTTTTATTGATGAATCTGCGTTAGCACAAGTGGGGCTTAGAGATGCTGTTTTAGAACCCCTTTGACGTATTGGGTGGGAACAATTTATTGCCATGAAAGACCTTGTTTATGCACCTCTAACTTTAGAGTTTTTGAGTTCTTATTCTTCTCTTATTCGTCTGTTGCCTTTTTGAGTCTTATTCTTCTCTTATTCGTCTGTTGCCTATTGAATTTCCTAGTAAAATTAAATTCAGCTTTTTGGGAGAAATTTTGAACTTGCAGTTAATGAGGTTAGTCACATCTTTGGTTTCCCTATCGCAAATGCCTTAATCAAATACCTTAGGATTTTATAGATCACAGCACATGGACCAATCTGACTAGAGAACATAACTATAATCCTAGGTTTTCAAAAGCGTCAAAATTAAGAAACCCGGCCTTGAGGTATATTCATAAATTCTTAGCCAACATGATTTTTGGGTGAAGTGAAAGTGATGCGGTGTTGAGTCAAAATGAATTATATTTTCATAGGCAATTGATCAAGGGATTTTTCTGAATGTTGGCTATTGGCTATGCCTGCGATGGGCTATAGTTGCACAGGCAGATAAAGGAGCTATTATGATGGGATGTTTTGTGACCCGAATTGCATCTTATTTGAGAGTTTGGAACCCTGTTAGGCCAGTATATGATACCGTGGGAGGAGGAAAGGGCACTAGGCTAGACTTAGATGTCATGTTGCATATGAAGTTGGTGGAAAAGATAGGAGATTCGTACCGTATTATGGGTACTCAAGAAGAGGGTTTTGATGAAGAGGAGGCTGAAGATGCTAGCGACACTAATATGGAGGAGGGTAATCCGAATCCTTTCTCTGGTTTTGGTACTTCTTTTGGTGCAAGTACGTCTGGAGCAAGTCCTTCTTTTCAGGGAGCATCTAACTTGTATAACGACGAAGTTCTTGCACGTATAATGTCCCGAATAGACATATTTGATACTCGTCTTAATGGAATGGAGTCCATGATTGCTGACCGTTTCCAGTCCATAGAGATTATGCTTGGGAGCCTTGACTCTCGAATAGACACCATGCAAGGCCAATATAAGGGAATTGCTAGTCAACTCCAAACAGTGATTTAGTTGCCGCAGCTGTCATGGCCCAGCCCATGGTAAGTATTGTCCGCTTTGGGCCCTTCCGTACGAGGTCACCCTCACGGTTTTGTCCCCTTGGAGTTGCCCCCAAAAGGTTGGAGCTTGCCCCCAAAAGGCGCCTACCTATGTTTCTGAGACCACCCTCTTATGTACTGATCGTGAACCTTGGCGTAGCGCCTGTGGGATCGCCTAATGGAGGCACCCTTTATTGAGCCCAACCGCTCACCCCCCCTTGGGAATCGCGTTCCGTTGGCTGAGGTTTGCCCCACCACGGCCAGAGGGACAACGGCCCTTGGCTCAGTACCAAAATGTCCATGGCCCAGCCATGGGTAAGTTTGTCCGCTTTGGGCCCTTCCGTACGAGGTCACCCTCACGGTTTTGTCCCCTTGGAGTTGCCCCCAAAAGGCGCCTACCATGTTCTGAGACCACCCCTGTCATGGCCCAGCCCATGGTAAGTATTGTCTGCTTTGGGCCCTTCCGTACGAGGTCACCCACATGGTTTTTGGGCCCTTCCGTACGAGGTCACCCTCACAGTTTTGTCCCCTTGGAGTTGCCCCCAAAAGGCGCCTACCATGTTCTGAGACCACCAATGTCATGGCCCAGCCCATGGTAAGTATTGTCCGCTTTGGGCCCTTCCGTACGAGGTCACCCTCACGGTTTTGTCCCCTTGGAGTTGCCCCTTTGGTCCCCTTGGAGTTGGCCCCTCCCAAAAGGCGCCTACCATGTTTGAGACCACCCCCGTCTTAATGTACTGATCGTGAACCTTGTGCGTAGCCGATGTGATTCGCCTAAGTGTGTAGTGGCACCCCTTTAATTGAGCCACCGTCTCACCCCCCCCTGGGACTTCAGGCGCCGCGCTGAGGTTCTGGTTTGGGGCCCCACCCAACACCGGCCAGAGGGACAAGGCCTTGGCTCTGATACCAATGGTCATGGTCCCGCACCCAATGGTAAGGTATTGTCCGCTTTGGGCCCCTTCCGTACGAGGTCAACCCTCATGGTTTTTTGTTCTTGGGGGAAAATGGAAACTTCCCAAGGAGGGGTCACCCAATCCCTAGGATTTCCGTTAAGCGAGCACGCTTAAAAACCCGGAGTTCTTTCCACTCTCCAGCCATTTCAACCACCAAAAACGCGTCCTAACCCCATTCAGGCACCACCGTCGGTTCATTCGGGTTAACGGGTGGACCGGGAAGGGATGTTACATGGGATTCGCCTAAGGTGAGTACACTGTGAGTGCACTGTCACTACAACCACCGCTCACAGCCACCGCTCACCCCCCCTTGGGGACTCAGCGTGAAAGTAGTGGATAGTAGGATGAACCCATCACAATACCTATAGGGGCCAGAGTTGGTATCAACCCTTAAGCTAGGGAATAGAGTAATACCTGATGGTAGTGGATTGGCCTGATCACCCAGTGTGACATCCTACCGAGTTGAGTCTTTGCATTGAGTCGAGTCTTGCATTGAGTTGAGTAAAACCTTCCCCAGGAGGTCAACCCATCCCTAGGATTTCCGCTTAAGCGAGCACGCCTTAAAACCCTGGCAGTTCTTTTCCAACTCTCCCACCATTTTCAACCAACCAAAACGCGTCCCACAATTCAAGGCACACCCTCTTATGTACATCACTTACTCTCCTGGCACTTAACCGAATGTGGGATTCGCTCTAGGTGCAATGTAGGCCCTTCGATATCCCTCACAGTT